CTCTCTTTCCATCCTACATCCTGCAGAAGTGTGAGGGAGTGTGCCGCTTCCCACACGCCGCAGATGGCGACAAGTACAGGAAGGTCAGATCCAGGCAGTAGGAGCTCGCACATGTTAGGCTGAACCCGCCAGCCGACGCGCGTCACGGTTTGATTCCAAGGGCCGCGCATCTTAAGTAGGCATCCAGCACGCGCGGTTTCCGGTATTTCTTAGCAGGGTTTCAGAGAAAGACTTCTCATCGCATTTCTTGCTACGCGAAATTTGCATCGAATGCCTCCTTGTCGAATTTCCTTGTACGCAAATCTTCGCCAGTCAACCATTCGATGGCATTTCTTCGTACCCAAATCTTCATGAACGCAGTAGTCAGCAACGACAAATTTTCATGGCACAAGATTTCGCATCTGCAAAGCTTCATGCGCGCAGGTCTGCGTCACGCATGTCTCCGTGCGAGCTTTTCTTCGCACCAAATCTCTTTGCATCCGCCATTATAGGTGCATGCAATCAATAATTGCGCAAGTACTTTGCATTCGTTTTGCTTCGTATACATGATGCTTGGTATCGAATGTCTTCATGTAAACTGTTCTTTTAATCGCATTCAGTGACTAACTATATGTCCTACCGGATTTCTTCGTTTATGCAATCATGGGCGCGTCATTTGTCGTATGCGCAACAATCCGCATCGTATTTCTTCGCACTCAGCTCCTCTTATCTAAGTGCATCAATGTATGAATGTGTGCTTCTATGTGCATAGTTCAAGTGTGGTTTTTATATATCGACACATCGACTGTCTATTTTCATGTACACCACCCAGCTTTGCCGACCGCTGTTAGTATTTCACAAGTTCAAGAGCCACGGCGGATGTGGGGAAGAAGTGTATGCACCTGTACTCCTCCCCCAACTGAGCAAAGACCCCTCTGCACAAGTACGCTGAGGAGGGGGTACTTGTGCGGTCAGTGCGCATCTTCCCAAGACATCCGAGGTAAGACGCCTGAGCGATGAAAACAGATGACACTTTGAGACCAGAAGGTTCGAAAACATGCAGGAGTCCAACAACATCAAATGGCAATCATCCAGATTCCGCGTGATCAAAGCTGTGGTCTCGAGGCACTCGCATCGACCTGGACAGAACTGACGAATTCTTTCCAGGGCGGTCTCCTGGGATTGGGACTGTTATCGCCAGATAGGTGTAGTTATAGGGGCCGGATTTTAAGAGCGCCCGGTTTATAGGATGCAGACTGAAATGTTTGCGACACGAAGGCAGAAGGGTTTGACATTTCACTTTCCGAGGTTCAGCAACGGAGGACAGACACCATGATCCGGTACAAGTACCTCTCAAGTGTGGGTTGATTTTAACAAAGGAACAGGAAAAGTGGATGACGGGGAACGGACAAGGGAGCAACGGAGAGGATACGGAAACCCCAAAGTGTTTGCTCTCAGGACGCACCAAATGTTTCATAAAGACTGCGTAGGTGAAAAATTGCGATGCGAAAAAGACCTGTTCCAATCGAGCAGATGGGAAGCGTGGAAAAGCAAACCACATATGTAAAGAAACGCAAGTACGAAGAAATGCGACAGGAAAAATTACGGTATCATTACATGTGGCAAGGAAACTTCGTCGTACAACAAATGCAGCGCTTCAAATTACCTACAACAGTTATCGGACGCGAAGATTTGAGGAGTCCTTACTGAGCACTTGCGAAAAGGTTTGAGTATAGCGTCTTGCGCATTCAAAACCGCGATATGAATATATGTGTGCGGATACAGATATATGCGTATCTGCCATTAATGCACCACTTGCGTGTGGCATACACCCTCTATATCTGGTTAACGAGCTTTCCACTTCAGGTGCTGGTGGTCTGTGTTGTTCTCCGGGTACGGAATGTTTGTCCGCTACACTCCAGACTGCTTATCCCGGAAATGCAGGAGGTGCGGGCCTTTGACAATAAGGGGAGTAGCCCACCTTCTTGTACTTTTCACGCATCGTTAGATCACCTTATTGACCTCACTCTTCACCAACTTGATGTCAAGGGAATATATCGCATTTGAAGATATTGCAGCAAGTATCAGATATAATGAACTGAGCTCACTTCTTTTATTATGCTCTTACGTGGAAAAGGCTGCCCTGGGCAACACAGTTTCTTTGTTTAGCACCTATGCTTCCAAACACGCCATAGTTTGATAACGCCATCGTAACTTACACGACATTGATTGAGAGCCAATTGGCGACCGTTATGTCTGGAAATCGCGCTCACAAACGTCAAATTGAACGCCTCGACGATTTTATTTTTCATGGCATTGACCGCCGCATGGCGTATGGAATGGCAGGACTTGAATGACGTTATTTTCAAGTCATGAATGCCATGGTGACTTTTGAAATAGTCTCCCCGATATACCTTTCCCCATATTCGCAGGTGTGTAGCTCAGAAACTAGGAGGGATTAGGCCTAACAAATGACATGATTGTGAACAGCACCAAAAGGTCTTTAAGACGGCTACTTCAGCTCAAAACCCCATATAAATGTGGAACTTTGCTTTAATAATTCCTTTGAGTCTAGCTTTTTCCAACGTGTGTCTTATATGGTACTTTATACACCAATTCACCAAAATCATTGCGTAAAAAATAGCATGACAGCATGAGACCCCTTTTGCAAAAGTAGACATACAAATATGACGATATTCTAACGAATTCAGCAAAACGTCGCGCCATGGCTTTGTTTTCGCGACTTTGGCTTTGATTTATTTTGATTTTGGCGTTTAGCATAGTGATTATGTTTGAAAGGTGCTTTGACTTTGGGAAGCATTGCTCACCTGGATTTTTGTTTCTTCCAAGCTGGCGTTCGTAAGGCAAGTATACGCCAGCGACATGTTAGCTGGTTTGGGGACGCACATAACCTCATCTTGCCGTGCACAGTCTAGAAAACAAGGTGTTCTGCGTATGCACATACATGGAGTTCCTTTACAATCTTCAAATCAGGTTGGATCCTGTAGCTTTGAGGCTAAGTTTTTCGGAAAAAGATGGCAAAACAAACTACAATTTGCTGCTCAATGACCTCAAACTCAAGCACGAACTTAATTCCTAGCTTACTTACGGCTAGCCGGCTGGTCCATGTCATCAATTGATGGCTGATGCATAATGCGGAGTTTTCGCTTTGTGTCTTATCAAAAAGTAGAACTATCCTAGCATTGAAAATATGCTCAAAACGGGATGCACGAGTATGTAACGTGTCACAAAGGCAATAACCAATGAAAAAGACAAAATACAGCGTCGGCGGCACGTAAAATTATGTCCGACAATTATGCGTAAAAAATCGAGGGCGCATATTCAACTGCTGCATTAAGGCTAAGGCACCAAGGCCAACATGGTGGGCCCTTGAACGATCGGGACGCCCCGGCAGGTGGCGTATAGGACCCGGCCATAGCGCAGGGCCCTCTGAGCATAGGAAAATTACCCAAGAATATGGCACATGAATAAATCCCCCTGTGCAATCAAGAGTGCTTGAACAGGTTAACAGGAAGGGCTCCGATATGATTGAAGGGTTCACCGTTAGTGAGATCAGAGAGGAAATAGCCCTAGGACCAATGTAAAGAGCCCTTGAGCATCGAATGGTATGGGGCGGAGCAACAGCACGAGGCCTTCCGAGCAAGCGGAAAGAACTCGCGACCGATATGAAGGGCCACTAAGCAACTGAGTTCATCCCGACATATGGGCCCCCACAAAGAGATGTTAATAGATAGTGCCCAAACGGCAGTATATAGCCCCACAAGAAAATGCAAAGAGACCAAGGCAAGTGGGAGGCTTCTTAGCGATCGGATTGACCCGGCAAGTGAACATATAAGAACCGCGGCAACACCGCAACGTCTCTGGAGAACGCAATGAGGTTCAGCATTTCATCCATTCCCCACCCTCCCAATCAGCGAAAAAAAAAAATGAATTCGTCTTCCCACGGGCTCTACACCTTCACTTGTGACTGTTTTTGGTCGTAAAGCGGCCCAAAGACGGCCAATTTGTTTTCTTTTAAATTGCGTCCGTTTGGTCTCTTCGCAACCTACGGGTCCCCTCAGGGCACAGGGCGGGAGGAAGAGGACATGGTTCCGTGCCCCTGGATCCGCCACTGGCAGCTTAACAGATGGGGCCCCGACCGGAGAATAGGGTCATCCACTCGCATGAGAAATACCCAGGAAACAATATGGACGGCCCAGAATGATCGAGTGTGCCCGAGCAGACTAACTGACGAGGGGGGGGGGGGGGGCGGGGGGCGAAAAAGCATAAGATCCTTCATTCAAATAATAAATAACCACGACACAATGTGAAGAGCCCCCGAGCGATCTAGTTTGCCCAAGCAGATTAACAGATTAGTCCCCCGACAAGAGGATAGGACCCTCTTTTCAAGTAAGAAATACCAACGAAATAATGTAGAGCGACCGCGAATGATCGAGTGTCCAAAGTAGGTTAACAGATAGGGCCCCCGACAAGAGCGTAGGGCCCTCCATTAAAATGAGAGGCACCCAAGACCCAATGTACAGGGCCCGGAACGATTGAGTGTGCC